TTTCAAATAGTTCCATCGCTATTTCATGCCATCATAAATTCTCACACTGGCGAAGAATTAGGGTGACAAGACAGCAATGAGCAAAGTGTTGGACAAACGTATGGATTAGCTCAGCTTGTAGAATTCAACGGTTTTGCCCAACACACAGTTTCACAGATGTCCAGAGCAATACCCGACGGGCGTGCAGTCGAGCAGACTCCCTCTGCTCCCTTCTGCAGTACATGGACAGGGCACATAAGGACATTGGTCCCACATGACCGCTATGGTGTATCATATAGGAATAACAGTTTCCACAGGCTTCAAGTGCATAGAGGTGTGAGTTATAACGCTATATACTCTGTGGGCTGCGCTGGAACATACCAGTGTGTTATTTTGAGCAGAAGTGGTCCAAATCCACAAAATACAGATCTGGCCTAAATGTTAGAGACACATGAAACCATTACTAGGTTCGAGCAGCTGCAGAATTCAGACCAAGTGACAGCTGTAGGCTTTGAAGACCTCCAAAGGCTGAGTATATTTTAGTTGAGACCCAAAACATGCTTTCTGGCCAACAGTGAAAATAAAGCACTGTAAATTGTTTAAATTTTAGCTGTTATAGCTACATAACTTACAAATACTGCCCATAGTCTGTTGTTAATAATTAGCAATGAAGAAAAAGCAGGAAAACTACTAGACTTGAATAGTCTGTGGACTCTTCAGTTCAACACATGCACTCAGAAAAAGCACGCAGCCCCTCCAAATCAAAGGAAAAACCCAAACAATGTGACAAACACTTCCTAATGCTTATTTTCCATTAGGGCTGGAGTGAAATACTAGAATACAGTGTCCAAAGACTGGAAATACTAGCTAGTTTCCCTAAATCTCAGTCGTCTTCACACCAGAAACCCTTCCTTTCTACAGGGACCCTTCATTTGTTCTCCTTCTACCACCATAAAAAGGCCAACATGGTCACAAGCCCCAGCCTCTGGCCACGACCCTGCTTGGATTCCTAATACCCATTTTAGAGAGCTGGGAGTCAGAATTAACTCCTTTTTTTCTGTAAAGCTGTTTTCATGAGCCAGAAAGGTGTTTCAAGATCTTAGGCAAAATCTGTCCTTGGCAGCATTAACAAAAATTGCAGCCACGTATACTTGCAGCAGCCTCTGCACAGAGCATGACTGGAAATACGTTGCGCTGCCATTTCAGGGAACTGGAGAATGGAAGGAGGCCCTTCCACGTAGTTGGATCACTGCTTGACTTTGGCAGGGCTTTGCTTTAATAAACTTTAAAAGTATGTGAATGCTGAACTACCCAGGTACCAGGGACTAGGAGTCTGAAAACAAAGCTAAGAAAGAACAGTTTCTAGTATGATACAAACCATGATTTAAGAAGTGCTTAACATACTTCTCAGTGTTTAAACTTACTGCAGTAAGTTAAACCTGTCCTTCACTATTATTTGGTTTCTACTTAGACCATCTTATTGTATTCCCCGCCTCAGTAACTTCACAAATGCAAGCGATCAAATGATATTCCAAACTGAAGAAACTTGTAGAAAAATAATCTCAGAAATATGTTGACTCTACTAATCTTTAAGTGGATCAGATGACACACAATTTACACTGCTTTTGTGATACTGTAATACCCTTACATTGAACTTTTAAACAGAAAAAGAAGTAAAGAAAAGTGTATTTAAAATTAAAAAATTCCATTAAGCATCTAAAAAAACAGAGAAAAAACTAGCCAATGCTGTCTCAAAATCTAAGTGCTCTATGTGGTGTATGTGGCAGGCATTAGAAATTTAACAGGCAACTAAAACTTGCACATGGACTTAATCCAAGCTCTTTAAAATGAGCTCAGACCGTGAGTGACTAGTTGCTTGGTCTGGAGTGTGGGGAGTGCTAATAGAGAAAAAAAGAGAGGAGAGAAATATTATTCCGGTACGTCCTTTAAGAGACACCCACGCACACACACTACTATTCAATTTTGGGGTCAGGTTGAGTCAGAGACATTACCCCCCAATTTCAGACTCAAAGTGGTTTGGCAAGAAAGGACAATGGAAAAATTGCTCCTATCTCCATGTTCCTATTAAGTTGTGAAGTCTGCTGTGCAAACCAAAGGAATGCACATATCATAGTTAAAAATAATAGATTAAGCCAATAGTGGAAAAGAAGTTCTAGGATATTATTATCCTTGGCTATTTCAAAAAATGAATGATGAAACATTTCAGTTAGAATATCTATTGGAATGTTATAAAAGAGCGTTCCAATTATGTCAGTGTCCCATCTGTGAATGTGATTTCTGTGCTATAAGAAAGACTCTGAAAATGATTCACTGGTTGTTAGATGGTGTAACTGTGTTTCACAGTGCACACGGACAGCTAGAAAAGGGCTAACGCAAGTGACAGCAGCAACAGATATGGGCCAACAAGATGACATAGGGGCCCACGGTCACCTGATGAACCTCTTTCATACGTCTAGTGCCTTGCTGACACTTGCAGAATCACAGCGTGAGGAAGCAAGGACACTGAAGCGTCTTTTTTCTAACAGGCTTAGGCCATGCAGTCTTCATTTCCCATTCTGAGCCTGCTCTAATCATAAAAGGGAGCTTGAGCCCAGAATTATTAACACAGTATCTTTTACACACCCTACATTTATGAGACTACTGTACTTTGTTGTGGGTACAGAAATCCTCCCAAAGCCACACACTGATCCCAAAAGTGCCTTGAGCTGTTAACCCATAGCAGCCTAATGCAGCTCTTCCTTTGTGGAACGGGTGGGAGAAGAATTGCAACACGAAGCTACATCTGTGTCAGGCTGTACCCCCTACTCCGCTGGCAGAAGTAAGCATTTTACGTTAGGGAAAATGGACGTCTGGGACTAGGAATATATCCTTCCTGGAGTATCTCTGGGCTGGGTTGTGTAACGGACTGCACTGCTAGTCTGGCTACTGCGGTCTCAAATATTTGATCTGGAAAAAAAAATCACTGCTTTTCATTTCAGTCTGCGACTGCAGGGCTCAGGGGCCCGAGGGAAGGGATGTCCCATGGAACATCTGCCCTGGGAGAAAGCAGAGCTGCATAATAATGGAAAGAAATTTCGTAGCTGCCATCAGAGTGCTGTCTTGCGCTTTGATATGCTGCCCCTATAAAGCAGGTGAGAGTGTGGCCTTGCCAACACAGGGAAGAGCAAGCAGTCTCTTATCTCTTTCCTTTCCTGCTTTCTCTGCAGCAAAATAACTTCTCTGGGGTGTTAGGAGAGTGAACAAGGGTAGCTGAAGTACTCAGGAGAGAGGGGGTTATGGCTGGAGAAAGCCGAGGATCAACAGGACAGGGCAATTGGCCTGATCTTAGGCGGTAAAGCCAGTCAGTCTTTCCACTGGCTTTTATAAATTCTTGGATGAGCCCCTTCGGGTGCATGTGTTAATGAGTGTGTTTTGGCAGGTACTACGAGAGCTGCTGAGGCAAAAGAAAATAAATAGCCACTACTAAAAGGCCTTCAAACGAAGCCCTCTGATACCACCGGTTATCACACCGGCTACATGCTCTGCACCGGCCCCAGCGG